CCCCCCCCCCTCTATCCTCCGCTCTGCAGGGCCCCAATTTTTATCCCGGTACCGGGTTTGACGACATCACGGGGGTTCACAGCAACATTTTCAATGTCAGCATGGGAGACGGGGAAGGTTCCCGTGGGTTCCGCGCGGCGTACTCGGAGAAGATTCTGCCCGCTCTGGAAGGGTTTCGACCAGGCCTGATCGTGATATCTGCAGGTGTGGTGAGACGTGGTGGTGGGACGGTTTCATTCAGGGCAGTCGCGACGGGCCGTTCTCGACGTGGTAGACTGCTGCACTGATCCCATGACTTCTTCAGGCAGGTTGAGGCGTGGTGGTGGAACGGTTTCATTCAGAGCAGTCGCGACGGGCCGTTCGCCATGTGGTAGACTGATTCTTTTCGCCGCGACCGCGGCACCGAATGACGTTGGGGGTGTCATTTCTTTCGATACTACGCGGGCCCCCAAGATCGCCGTGACACGCTGCGCCATTTTGGTTTGATGCTGCTGTTGGGAGTGTTTATCGCTCGAACGGCGTTAATTCTTCGTTGTTTGGGCGAGAGGTAGAGATCGGTGTGCCATGGACAAGGCTTGAGGGCGAAAATTGGGGGGCGAAATGACACCGCCAGTTTTTTTCTTGAGCCATTGTGCCTTTTTCTCTCCAAGTACGTAGTCTCCGGGATTCGCGTGCATAACCCGTATGCGGCTCACTCGAGATTGTTAATTCCTGATCGTTAGAGATAGGTTTAGTGCTGGCTGTGGGCGCCTGAAGCGCAGATCATTAACTGGGGTAGGCGTAACAAGAGTTAACACGGTTCCAGCGGGCGTGAACTCTCAGGATGTTATCAAATCGTTCCCATGGAGAGAGTCTTGCGTGTCTACCGTAGATGAGCGAGAGATCACCCGGGCGTCCGGTCATGTTTTTCTTTCTGTAAAGCTAGAAAAACGTTTATCAACAGCCAGTTGTAAGAGACACGTTTGTTTTGGGCACCTCGACCCAGCTCTAAGTTGTACTCGAGCAGTCCCAACTAGAGTCATGTTACGCAACAAGTTTCTCCTGTGGGGCGAGGACACAACCATGCCAGTGAAAGAAACATCAGTTTGGGTGCTTATCCAAAGTCAAGGTCAGTTTTTCTTGTTGTGTTGCAATACCTTGCTCCTGCAGGAAACCCTCTTGCGCATCGTATGCAATTTGCTAGATGGGGTGCACACGGTTTCGGTGCACACCCTCGAAGTGAAGTCGGTGTTTGTTACAGGTGCCCTCCTTCCTCCCATTCGATACAAGCATCTGCCGAACCGCTCNACCGGTTTGTTGCAAGTCGTGTGGCCCACCCGAAAAGTGGTGTGCTTCGCAGCCACGCCACTGTTGCTTACCCCATCCCCATTCGCCCAAACAATGTCCAGCAACATGCGCGGGGCCAAGAAAGAGGTGCACATGATAGAAGTTGGCGAGCGGAAACGGACCTCGACAAGTGCTGGCACCGGCGCCCCCGCCTGCAATAGCGGAAAAACCATTCAGACCCGTAATCTGCGGGGTGTCGCAAGCGGCAGCCAACTTCTATCATGTGCACCTCTTTCTTGGCCCCGCGCATGTTGCTGGACATTGTTTGGGCGAATGGGGATGGGGTAAGCAACAGTGGCGTGGCTGCGAAGCACACCACTTTTCGGGTGGGCCACACGACTTGCAACAAACCGGTGTTTCGAGGATTCGGCAGATGCTTGTATCGAATGGGAGGAAGTAGGGCACCTGCAACAAACACCGACTTCACTTCGAGGGTGTTCACCGAAACAATGTGCGCCCGAACTAGCGAATTGCACACAATGTGCAGTGGGCTACATTGTTGGATCAGCTCATGGTCGTGGGTCATGGCTGGGCCAAGGCCCGATCGTCATCCGGTTATGTTGTCCCGTGTGTTTTTTCCTGCCAAGTTTTTTGTTCGTTTACGTTTATTCCTTCGAGCCCCCGTCCCATCCTCCATCTCCCTTCCCAGTGCTTATGTACACGCTCGCAAATTTCGTTCTTTCCGTAACCTGCTGCTGTCTTTCGCTCCCTTTCATTTCCTGTCCGTGCACCCTTGTGTCCGTTTCGTTTCAGGATTCGATGCCCACGTCGATGACCCCCTGGCGGGCATCACGCTGGACGAGGACGACTACCGCTGGGTCACGGAGAGGATCTGCGACGTGGCAGAGAGGGTACGTTCGTTTCACAGTCTCGTTGATCCTCTCTGACGTTCTTATTTCCAGGCCTGGTGTATCCGTTTCATGGTTTGGCCGGGGGGGGGATTCGGGAACGGCAGGGGGGGCGGGGGGTACGCAAGAGGCGTAGCACGGCGGTAGAGGCGATTCCTTTGTGCTTGAGCGCGCGGTTGGGACGCTGAATTTTCAACAGGCGTGTCGCCCTTCTTGAGCACCATGTAAGCATGTATGGCCACGATGTTCTCCGGTGGTGGTTTTCGCCGTTGCCACTTGTCCACCTTGTTGTTACCGTCGGCTAGTTCCCTCTCGATGTACCGCTACAAGTGCTTCTTATACTGACTATCGTCCGTGGTAACTATCTACGACACCGGCGACGGTGGCGATGGAAACGAACAGGTGTGCGGCGGGCGCGTGGTGTCCATCCTGGAAGGCGGCTACAACCTGCAGGCCATCTCGGATAGCGCCGTCGCCCACGTCCATGCGCTTCGACAAGCCGCCGCCGCACCAGCACCAGCACCAGCACCAGCACCAGCACCAGCACTAGCAACGGGAACAGCAGCAACGAAGGAAGCAACACAAGCAGCGGCAGCGAAGAGTCCGACCAAAGCCCCGCCTTCGGGAACGGGCATCGCCACGAAGGAAGGGGGTTCGAACGGGCCTAGCGTTGGAAGCCCTGGAAGTGCCTCCTTGGTAGAAGAGGTCTCCAGGAAGGACGGCGGTAGCAGCGGCGGCGGTGGCGGTAGCGACACAAACGTTCCACTAACGACCATGCCGACGGCCGCGGCCGCGGCGGCGGGGGTCGCGGAAGCTTCCGCTGACGGCGGTGGAGGACCAGAAGAACAGGGTGTCGAGGGCGAATCGGAGGGGTGCGACACGTCGTTAGGGGTGAGGCCGGAGGAGCATGAGGAGATCGACTTGATGCTCGCCCAGCTGAGCCTCGAAGATGCCGATGGACAAGTCAGCAGCGAGAAGTATGACCCGAATCCGTTGTAGTGGCAGGGGAAAGCGACAGTGACCATTTGTAGAACGCGGTGTCGGTCGGTGTCTTGGAGAGAGGCAAAAACTGGGTGGAGTTGTTTCACGACGGCGTTGGTTTTTTAGGCGTTACATACAGCCATTGACACATGGCAGAGGAGTGTAGGGCGGATGATGGGTGGTTTGAACAGCTCGCTTCATGACCGACCATGTTAGGGTGTGTACAGCAATGTCTCGTTCTGGATTCGGAGACTGCGGGCGGTGAAGAGAAGAGGTTAAGTGGCAATGGGAGGACACCAGGATGTTCGTTTTTTGTGTTGATGGGCCCCGCCGTGCACCGCAGACTTTGTACCGTCGGGAGTGTACTGTAGTACATGTAATGCCTATGCGGCTTTCACTAATAGCGTGCATTGTGCAGCAGTCATTTAAGAGTCTACTACTGGATCTACGCTGCGTATTGGTATCTGTTGAGAAGAGCGCGCCTTTCGCACGGTGGTTCTTCATTGTCGTTGGACGTGTGTAGGTCATCTTGTACAGATTGCAACGTGTGTGCATGATAATTTATTTCGGTTTTCATTTTTTTGCATGCGGGTGCCGCCGGTTTATGGATTGCCTCCAGTTCCTCTGAGAGGGTCGGAAACAACGTCTTCGATTTATGTAGCAATGATGTTTTCTTGTGCTCGTCCTTAGTTGAGGGCTAATTTGTAATCGCGGCAGTTCGGTGCGTTTGACGACATAGAAGAAGAGGGTGCAATTGGTAAGAGACAGTTGGCTAACGACGATCCATCAACGGAAATCGCCGCTTCGGCACGGTGCTCAAGGGGATCACAACCCTGCCCAGGGGGTCTCAGGGGGTCTCACTCGATCCGCGACTGATAGTAGTAGTTCGATGTGCCCTTCTTTATGTCGAGAGTTGCCAGCAGTACACCCGGAGGCGATCGGCATCCACCCGTTCTCGTTTTCTTCGCCCACAGCAGTATCTGGGGGCTTCCACTTGAGCCTGGGCCTCTTGGTTTGTTTCTGTTACGTGAGATCGAGGAGTAAGGTGTTCACTTCCGACTGGACTTGCTGTTTATCTGATCCCCCTACACCATACTGTTGCGTATGTGGCAAACCATCCGACCGCCGCCTCGATGGCCTAGAAGAGTGGGGCGGACCGTAGGTTTTCAAGGAGGAAAATGGAATGTTAGATGCGTAGGCAGAGGTTTTCGCGTGTTCCATGCGGCAGACACAGAGCTTGCCGATGCTGCTCTCCGTGTTTGTTCGATGTTACCGTCCCAGTCCACTTGTTTGGAACTGTCTCAGTCAAGTCTTCGCGAAAGGAATCCATGTGCGGAGGGACTTCTTCGAGGAGGCCGAGCGAAAAAAACACACACACATGTCCGAGAGGTTACAGACTCACAGACCGCACAGAATAACGCCTACCCGAACAAGCGTGAAAAAACGCGGCGGACTGTGCCGAAGCGGTGAGAGCCGTGCGCCTCCTTCTCTCTGCGCGAGTTGTCATCGGGTACTTTCTTCTTCGGAAACACACACGGCGTGTGCGTAACACCAACACCTCGAGACCGTATCGCCGCCTTCACCACGAGACAGACAGTAACCCACCATCAATCCCATCACCATGGGCCCTTCCACCCCGTGACTTACAACATCTCTCAACCTTTACCCCGTGCCGCGAGCGGGGTCACGTTTGCTTCAAAGGCGACCGGTCACTCGCGTTTCACATGCCCACAACGGCCTGTTACTAGACGCGGCGACCATGCTGCCGGCAGAATATTACCACAAAAAAACATACCACAGTCAGTCAATTTACAAATTGTGCTGCAAGTGTAGACGAGACAACGAAACATGCATAACATTCAACAGCGTCCCAAACAGCGCGCCTGGTTGGCGCGCGTTTTCTCACATCTGCCCTCCTCCCCGCCTCTCTAGCCCCCCCTTTCCCCCTCCCGCCCCTACGTGCTCGCGCAGCGTCGCGCGTCACACGCACAGCCCCCGTTAAGCCTTCCAAACCACTAGCAGAGTGATAGTACCTCTGCCTTTTGCTTGTAGTTTGGGAGCAATCATTTGTGCTTGCTACAAATCATGAACCGCCTGTTCCTCATGGCACGATGCCAACCCTCAAGAAGCCGACTGCGTTCATGCACCATGACATCACGTACAACATATACAAGGGACTGCAAACACACACAAACATGCTGCCCCCTCACGGGGTCCCAGTTCATGGCAGATAAAAGTGTTGTGTTTTCAACCGCACTGAGACTGACGTCTTTTCATTGGTAAGTTGGTTAGCGCGGTCGATGCTAATAAAAAAACACACACCATGCAACAAATCAACGCGGTGGTCACGTCATTCAAAACGCGGACTGGGACACCTCTATCTCTCTCTCTCTTACATGACGCAGATGGCGCTTTCGCCAACAACACGCGACCCGTCTAACTCGTCTTGTTTTTCTCAATTCCTGTTTCTCTCTTACCCCCCAAACAGTCACAGGTACCCGTGTGATATTCTGCAACAACGCCACATTCGCTTGCCCTCACCTCTCCCTGCCGCAAAATGTTAATTCGTCCTGCCGCACCCTCTTCTCTCACAATATACGCCTCGACGGTGGTAAACCGTATTCTGGCATATCATTCGATTTCGATTTCCTCGACCAACTTCTGCTAGGACCAGCTCAGTAAGCGCCGCCTGTTCTCTCCCAGGTTCACACGCGAAATCATTACCAAGTACCCGGTCTTTGAGGAGGCCGCGACGTACCGCCGGCGGGCGGAATCCTCTTGGGGTTGTCGTTCTCGTTCCTGCCCCTGCCGGGGATAGGCACCAGGCTCGGGATGAGCTCGCCGAACTTGGGCTGCCGGATGCCGTTGCTGCAGCACACCTTGAGGAGGACGAAGTCGCAGCAGACCATGCCGCCGGTGCAGTCCCAGGACGTCTCGCACGCGAGCTCCGCCCCCTTGGAGCCGAACCACCCGCCCGCGTTGTTCTTCTTCTCCTTCTCCGCCCTCGCCCTCTTCTGGTTAGCGGCGGCGGCGGCGGCGGTGGCGGCTGCTGCTGCCCCGTCCTCGCCGCTCCCGTCGCCGTCCGACCCGTCCGGCGTCGCACCGGCGGCGGCGCCCGCGCCGCTGCCGCTCTCCGATACCCCGTCTGTGTCCATCATCAGCACCGTCGAGAGCGCCTGCATGTAGTCCCCGCGGAGCTCGGAGTCCGTCCTGGCGGCGTCGAACATGGCGCCGACAGCGTCTTCCGCTTCACCCTGCTGCTGCTCGAACAGCTGCGTGGGGGCCCCGCCGATCACCGCGTGGGGGGTAGGTAGGGCCGCGCCAGCGCCCGACGGCTTCGCCACCGCCCCGCGGGAGACCCAGGCGGGGAGGTTGATCCACGCGTAGGCGAACGGGGGCTCGACGGCGCGTCCGTTGACGACCACCGTTTCCAGGTCATGGCGGTGGGCGAGGCCGTCGCTGTTGATGTGGTAGGCGGAGATGCCGTCGACGTAAATGGGCCGCTGCCGGGCCTTGAGCTGGAGCACCACGTTCCACGTCACGCGCACCTGCTGCTTGCTCCAGTCGTAGGTGAGGCGGAATGTGGTGGTCGCGTCGTTCATGAACGTCTGCCGGAAGAACCGGAGCGTCGCGAACACTCGCTTGTAGTTCGAGATGCCTCGGAAGGCCACGCCCGTCTGTTGTTAAGAAATTGCGATCGGGATAAAGGGGGTCAGCAAACGGTGGGCGTGCGACCAACGGGCGAAACTCCCGGGATTTATGCATAGCAGCGTCGAGAGTGGCACGGCAAGACAAAAGTTCTGCATCGTTTTGGCAAGTGGAGCTAAATTCTCCTGCGGGGAATACCCAGTCACTACCGGTGCACGATCACGGCAAACCGTACACACGACCTTGAGGACTGACTCATCAAGGGCACAGCAGTGTGTACAGCATCGCTTCCTATCTTTCAATCATGAAGTACAAAAGTCTCTCCATCTTACGGCAACGGCGACGACAGCGTGGGTCGAACTACAATCCGAAAACGAGGCTCCCGAACACCATCAAATAAAAAAGGCGTTACATGTGCCACACGAGAATTTCGGCAAAATTCAGAATTCCTGTTCGTTCTACTGGTGTGCATAGCTTGACTGCCTGTACGATACTCCAACGTACGTATGGTACCTCCTTGTCCAGATAAAAAAAAAAAGTGAACTTAACGAACCAGCCCACAATTCCTATTGTCACACCCCCCGCACTCAGCCACCCATCAGCCATGTGCCGCGTGCCACACTGCAGGCCGGAAAGCGTTCTAACCGTTATTTGTACCCAGTCAGACAACGGTCGCCTAACTACAAGTAACGATTCGAGCGCAACGTACTTCAAGGACAGCCCTAGAATCAAGATAAACATCGACCGGACTCTTATCTCTCTCTGTATTCAAGAGAACACGTCTGGGCAGCACGAGCAGGCTACCACTATCCTAGCGAAGGACCACCACCACGTTCTTGATGGGGGAACAGCAGTGAGGCCTCAACAACAGCAGCAGTAAGGGCTCGGGGTTTGTTTCCGAAGGGTCTAGATGCTGACGAAAGAGTAGGCCAAACACTAAAACGCGCTTCTCCTTACCGGATCGCGCAGCTCGATCTCCTCGGTAAAGATGTCGAACGCGGGAGGGTCGAAGAATATCCGCGGGTAGTCCTCCCTCAGCGTGGAGATCACCTTGCCCAGGTTCACCTCAAAGTCGGGGCTTTTGCCGTCGTCTCTCTCTCTCATGCCCAAGTCCTCCGTGCCATCGCGCGCAATTATGCCGGGCCGCGGCTGCCTGGTGATGCTGGGGAAAATCAAGGACGAGGCAAGCTGCGCCCCGCTGGCGCTGCTGACGAGGTCAGCAGCCCCTCTCGCTTGTGTTGGCGCGGACGCCTCGGTGCCCTCCGCCGCGGGAGACATCGTCGACATCCGGGGGGAGGGGGAGCCATGTAGGCGGCACACGCTGCTTTTTCTGTCCTCGATGTTCCTCGAGGTGGCCACGCTCGAGAGCCCTGCTCCTGACGGCGTCGGGAAGAGGTAAGCGTAGGTGGTCTTGGTGGAGGTGGTTGCCAGAAGCCCCGCGGCCAGCAGGCTCCTCTTGATGCCACCCATAGCTACGAGCTCGTGGTGTCTCTTTGCGTCGGTGCTTTGGATGGTCGGGGGGAAAGGTAACGTCGTAAGCTTGTGATGAGAGTGTGTCGTTATTGCAAAGTGCGAAAAGGCGAGATGACGCATCCCTTTAGCTGACGGAGATCGCTGCCGAACAGACCGCCAAAACGCCTCGTCGGAGAAACGGATGCAAACCCTCTCCAAGCATCCCTATCACCCCGCGTCTGGAAAGAGACTGCTGCTGTCTCCGTCACACCACGCATGACCTCAACGCTTGCCTGCTGCTCTCTTCGGTAGCGCCTCCATGACCCTCATCAGATCATGCCTGACCAGGCGAATCAGATTCGCAATGAACCAGGTGCGCAATCGTAGCTGCTGCTGCGAGAAGCAGCAAGTACGATTGGTGTGAAGTCGCTGAGGGTCGTATTGCGTCCTGTACATCAGCATAGCGTACCGAGCGGAGTCAGCGCTGACTGATTGGCGCAGCATTGGGAATTTCTGGCTGAATGCTGTTCCGGCGTGCTCCGATCATGTGGGGTTCCTCTACGCCACCAATGTATCTCCATGTTTTGTCTGCTGTCTACCTACCGTGCTGAGTACTGATGATGGCCAAGCAACACTTAATTTTCCTCCAAGTGTGCACGGCCTACGGTGCATGGGCACACCGGTCAACGTTCGTTGCCAGAGGTGCACGAACTTATATTTCCGGCGCGATTCACATGAAGCGAATTAATTAAAGTTTACTATCCTGAATTAGTAGTTTCCGCTTCTGCTGGATGTGATTTACAGCAATAACCACGTCCCGTAGGTAGCAGCAGTGTAATCATGTTCACCTACCAGCAGTGCATCCGCGAAAACCTCGGTCCATGTGGCTGCAACAGCTAGGCTTTTCATCTCCGACTGTTCCAACTGCGAGTAACACACGGCCTATTGAGTGGTTATGGCTTCGTGTTTGTGTCACGTCTGCAGGATGACACAACCCACCCCTGGTTGCTACAGATGGTGCCCGCACTTAAGAACCTTTAGTTTCGGCCGAGGCTGGGGTTCTTATTTTGCTGATAATCCTCTTGTGGGCTACAAATGGCCGCTATACAGGTTTTATTACAATGTGGGGTTCTTAACCGAGCTCACAAACGGTGCTCAAGTTCTTAGCTTCTGATTTTTCGCGAGTCTCAATTTCTCAACTGCTAAGTTCTTAAGTGCGGGCGCTATCTGTACGGCTGCCCTTCTTCACCATTCGACGAACGGCAGCAACGAATCAACCCCCGCCTCCCCCGCGTCGCGCGCTGCTGCCGAAAATCTCACCACCGTCGCCGCTCTACAGCAGGCGCTTCGACCAACCGTGACACCATCAACGAAAATATCAGCATTAACACCAACAGCAGCAGCTCGTCCGATAGTTGGACCGGTCGGGAGCTTGGGCGGTCTCGTGAGCAGACGCCACCTCCGCGTGACGCACACGCCCCCCCAGACGCCTCCGATGCCGCCGATGGACCTCAGGTACATACACAATGCGGCAAAATCTTCAGCCCAACGCAACGCAAATTTGAAAAGACTGCCCTGTGCCATGTCGATGCTCTGCTGCTCCTAATTCCGCCAACAAAAAGTCATGATCGTGTGGTGGTCATGGCGATACTTGTCAGAGTATGCAAAGGCTCGAAATGGAAGTCTGTTAATCGTCTATCTCTATTTTACGTCTGCCTCCCCATGGCCGCGATGGACATATTTATTGCCAGTGACACAACCACCTGGGGGGGGATTCGCTAGCCACATAGCAAAGAATACCTTGCTCATCGCAGGCTACTGTTACCTTTTCAGCTGATATGAACTACTCGCATGTGGCCGGCAGCCTGAGAGCGTTTCTCGTGTGGGAGAGCGTGATTATTGTTGCTGTCGTTGGTGTTGTTGTCTTCACATTATTATACCGTCCCGGTCTCTGCTCAGTTTTTCACGTACGTGCCGGTCCATCGGACTCGGACGTACGTTACTGGTATTTCCAATGCTTACGTTGCAGTATACTCTAGCACCGTCAGTCAAGTGCACTATGGTGCAGAAAACAATCACGCAGGTCAAGGTCAATTAAGTCACAGAAATAGATATATCGGCGGAAGTCTCGCACTGAGCCAGGCCCACGGTGAATCACACGCAAGTCCATTAATAGAACGTGTTCAAACTACATGTTGTGTTTCCTCGCCACCCATGGCATCAAGGTACAACTACGCTGCCGGCGTTTTCATCGTGGTCCTCTTCACGTGGGCGGCGCTTAGCCCGGAAGACGACGGTTTCAACACCCTGCTAGGCGGGAGTGGCATGAACAAGGACGAGGACGAGGACGAGGACGACGACGACGACGAGCGCTACGACGGGACCGGCTACGAAGGCAGAGACAAAGCCCTTTCCGGTGGCGGCGGTGGTGGAGATGACGCGTCTAGGGCGTCTAGGGCGTCAAGTAGTAGCGGTGATCGGCCTGTCGTGAGGGATTGATGTTTTGCCCTGTAATAACACGTTTCGAGTGGGGATTATTCCTCCTGGACTTTCTGTATTAGTACGCCAGAGCATAGCCAGGCCTTGCTCTGCAGTGGTCAGTGCATGGGTTGTTCCATGTGGAAGGAATTGTTAAAACTGGGTGGTGGCACTACAGCTGGTGTTCTGTAGTGTTTTATTTTGCGGTTCAGATCGAGCGACAGAGCCCGATAGAACGCACTTACGTACCTCGGGGCGGGGGCGTGAAAGCTGCGGCTTACGAAAAGTAGTTCGGTACACGTTCGACCTTGGTGACGACGGAGGCCGAACGAAAAGTGCACAAGGTTTAGGAGAGCAAGTAGCCCATACCGCGCCACATGTGGCCATGTCCTCCTCACCAGGATGACGTGGCCATGTCCTAACGGCCTGGTTGCGATGAACCAGAGGTTGTATGGAGTTAGCAAATACACCAGAGAGACCCAAGCCCGTCCCGCACGAGAGAAATGACCGCGGGATTCTCACAGCGGCGTTCTAGTCAATTTCGAGAGCTCTCGCTAAAGCTTTTGAATGCTAAATCCTATGCACATGTCCCATGCAGAGTCCTCGAATACTCTGTCCGTGTTTGCGATGCGCTGTGCGCATGTGAAACTGCAGTCCAATGCAGCTTGAATCATGAGATAAAATATGGCCCCGATGTAAGCAAAACATGTAAGCACACGTCCAACAGCTGCTGCCACTCACGGGCGATTGACCCGGGAATGGTGGCTGCTACCCCGGTGCAGCGGCACAAACAAACCTATTCAGATGTTACTCGTGAATGCCATACAAAACAACTCAACACGGATAGAAGCAACCATCGGGCCTGGAAAGCAAGGCACAAAAAAATGGCAAAACTGAACGCCTAGATGTGGACACTGTTTGTGTTCACAGATTTTGTCATTTGGGTTCGTGAAAATAAACTCACTGTACAGACCTCGCCAACGTAAAACTCCAATACCTACAGTACTACGCCGGACACAATCACGCCACTTTCCACCCACACTCCAACCCAAGGCAATCTTGCCCACCAAATTGTACAATCCATCAATGCTCGACACAGGAGAGAAAAATCATGCCCCTATCGCGTGCAGGGCATTCCCCCCGCCCCCGCCGCCGGTCCCGCCCTTGCCCCCCCTGCCGCCGCTGCCGCCGCCATCTTCTGTGGTGGGCGCCACCGCGATGCCGAAGTAAAACAGGACCATGTCCACGTCGCCTTTGTTAACCAAGGAGTGCTTCTGCCCGGCCGCCACGTGCACGCACGTGCCGGGAGTAAGCTGTTTCGTTTCCACCGTTGACAAGGGGAGACAGAACAAGAGCATCGTCAACATCAGCGAGCAGGAGCGTGTGCCAGCAGACAACATATGCATATGCAGCAGACAAGGAGCGAGTGTATCCTCGCCCGAGGGAGCACCCTGGGACGAAAAGTATGAGTGCAGATGATTCGTTCAGATGCATCCATACTTTTGCAAACTGGCATGGATAGCCCGCGGCCACCAATCACTCTGAGGCAAGCATGTACGCGTGACCCGCGCCTAACGATGACTCTTGGGCAAGCATGTACAAATGGTCCGCCCATGCCAACACCTTAGGGCAAACCCAACGATCCGCGCCCGACGGGTCAACCTAGAGCATGCGTAGCTGGTAGCGCCATGTGCATGTGCGTGCAAACGGTGACATCTTTTGTTTTACTCGGGATTGCACTTTGTATGTTGCTTGACTTTCTATTCAAGATCGAGACCGACCCGAACCCGCTTGATCCAATGCTGGACAATACTACACAGACACCCAAGAAGGAATACTGCGTGCGCTGCGGTGATGAAGAAACATAAGACCAATAGTTTGTAGGGTTGCTTTCTTCATCGGGCAAATGCACACACACATCGCGTGAAGCTTCGTAAAGAACGATGAAGTTTCGTGGGTTTGGTGACCATCGTTAACGCTTGTAGATGAACCACCCGCCATCCTGTTTGGTTTAATACTTAGCACGTCACCTAGTACCAGTACTGCTGGTGCAGAGCTCACCAGAACGATACCAGCCAAAACAGTGACAAAAGTCTGCATTTCAATTGCGAATGTTTTCTATGTTTCGTTCATCTGAGCCATCAACTGGTTCCCAATGACCAATGAAGACTTGTACGCAACCCACAAGAGACTAGACGGCATCCAAACAGCAGTAACTCTTCGCGCTAGATGGGTCGCCAAGGGGCAAATACAAGCGGATCACCTGCACCCACTGATCACAATAATAGCTAGCTTGACCTGTAGGGGTCTGATGTACGCTACAGGGCGTGTGAGCAAATCCCTCCCGACGTGCACCTGTAGGTGTGAGCTCTTGCGGTCTTTGCAGGTCCCACCCATCTCCGACACAATTGCACAGTCGGACACTCCCATACAACACTGCTGTCCAACGTCCTTGTGATCGTTGCTGAATAGAAATAGTCGCCCTTGTTGGCAAGGGTTAGAGGTGGAGAGGGCGGGGGCTACCCATCAACGACGACTACAGACCACCTGTACAACCGTGCCGTCCACTTCGATCGTGCCCTTCCCCTCCGCCGCGTAGAACACCTCATCCATGCTCGTATGCCAGTGGAGCTCGACCTCGTCCCCCGGCGAGAAGACGGCCCGGGTGAACCCCGTCAAGTGCGGCACCTGGCCGTTGAGGATCATTGTCTACGCGTCCCGGTTTCGTTCGGTTGGGATGTAGAGAGGCAAAGGAGAAGGGGAAAGGGAGGGCAGAGGAGTCTTTAGGTAAGCAAGACACCGCTGTGGTAGACACAAGGACCGGCGGGAAGAGAGCGGGCTCGCGGGCATAGTAAAACCCGGCCAGCCGCTGCACTCGGTCGATGAGAATCATGGTCGCTTTGGCTGTAGTCCAAGTCTCATCGGCAGTTGCGATGATTCGCAAGCGCGCGGGGACGGCTGGCGGAGGGCAGCGGGCAAGACATGCGAGAGACGAAAACTAGAGAGGGAGACGGGAGAAGAGAGGAAGCAGTATGCATGCAAGAAGATAGATGAACCCTCGCAATCGCACTATGCAGCGCCAACTGACGAAGTGGGTGGGCGAGCCAGGATTGGATGACTACGCCCTTTTTTTACTGAGAGATGAGCCTATTCTGGTAGGCCAGAATCACATACCCGACAAGGAAAGAACTGGGAGTGCTCAGCTGTACACGCTGCGCACAGCTCGGCGAGTAGCACACACACAAACACACCGCACCCATCGTGAACGCCGCCGCAATAGTCTAAGCATTAGCCACCGACAGATGTTCACCGAATGTGGCAAGTCATCACGTAGGACGAACAACACAGCACGGACCAGATGAGTACACCCCCCCCCATCGCTGCACCATTGCACCGACCCCCCACGAGCGATGATGTGCCTTTGCTGTTTTTGGTGGTCCTGTAGTTTTGTTCGTTTGTTCGGTCGTGTTGCAGCAATAGTGGTTGGGATGTGTCCTCTCTGTTTCTTTTTCTTTCTTTTAGGAAACATTTGTTTTCCAGATGGCTGTCTCAAGATTGAACCAGGGAATATGCCTACCCTCCCTCTGAACCGTGATGTTGACTTTTATGTACCTATAGACTACTGCTGTAGTCTTTGGTTTACCTCGCATAACGTGTAGAGGCGAGCGGAGGGCTCTGTCTCTGATTTCTACTTGACTTGCGGGCCCTCCGTTCCATCGTTTTAGTTTTGTGGGGTGAGTTATTCAGCCACCTGTGACATCGACCGCGGCAAACTGCTGTTGTTTGTTGTATGAATAGACTACTCCTGGTAGTAGATGATACACTATGCACCGATGGAAGTACAGGATAGAGAAATCGGAACGGTTAATGTGACGACAAGACAACAACGACAACAACAACGACAACAACGACAACAACGCATTTCACCGTTGGTGTGCACCTGTTTCGTGGCTCCACTGCCGTCGTGGTTGACGGGTATCGACTTCAGCTCGCTTAACCGGACCATCCCCCCCCGCGGCTTGTCTCGTTTTCCCTTGGGGTCTTTGCGAAGAAACTTGGCCGACTCTTTCGCGTAGGATTTCTGGTCGAGAGGTAGCCGCAACAACGCAAGCCCCAACCCTACCAGCACGCAGCCGGTTATCGTTATTCTTCGGCGAGGGTAGTGTTGCGAGGCCATGATGTCCTTTGGCAGGACGTGATTGGCGCTGCTCCGCGACTGCGGTCGTGCCGAATTCCCGCGCAGTAGTACAAGGAACAGATGAAACCGCGCACCCAACCAGGCGCCGAGTACAGCAGTTTTGGCTGACTGCTATGTTCAAGATGATGAGGTTCGCCGGAACAGGGTCGCAACTACACGAGCAGCAGGAGGCGAGCCTTTTCCCGTTGTTTAAGGCCCTGCTGAGCTATGCACGGCACGCACCACAGGCGCTTGTTGTCTCGACACCGGGGAGACGGGATGCGGCAATACATCGTTCGGGTTCAGTTCCGACCGGGGAGAGGGGTGGGTTCAGGTTTCAGAACCAGATCCAGCCCCGTCTCTTGATCTGTGTGTCTTGTGTGGCACAATCTCAACTTCACACAGCTTGATTTGACAACTGCGACGAGAGGATGTCTTCATTCGTAGAGTTGGTGCACAGGCTCGAGCAAAAACGAATCAGTTCGGGAGAGGAACCGTCGATCCGTGCTCGGATCGGGGCGAAGGATCCGATCCTTGACTGACTATTGTTCATGTTGGCTTAGTACCTGCTAGTCTCCACTAGTCAACGATCTGCAGACCAGGGAACATGCATTCGAGATGAGTCAGCAGCAGATACGTGTACGAGAGGGGCTTGATCGATTCCCTCTGACCTCACGCAGAAGTAGCCAAGATACGCAAGTGAGCCACGGGTACAGTGACGCTATTGACAGGTGGGCTGAAAACGGCAACAGGCAAGACCCCGACCTTGGAACCTCGCGACCCCATCCTTTTAAGACTATTATCCGCGTTGAGATGTGTTGACATCGCGTGTTTCAGCTAGTTGTACCCGAGACACTGCTGCAACTGCTGTGCAGTCCCATCCACCGCTATCAGAAAGCTGTGCACACGACGAAAGTACGGTGGATGCTGCTTTTGAGCAACATCTTGTTAAAGGCAACGCATGTGCTCGGCCTGCCTCGTCCCATCACAGGAGAATGGGGTTGCAGAGACTGGAGTCAAGTCGACTCCGGTTGAGAGCGAAACATCGGACGGAAACGCCTGCTTGTTCTGGTTCGTTGTGCGCAGCACCCCACAACCGTGGGTGCTCGGTCCAGCCGTGGGCGTGGGGACCAGCAATGACTGGCTTCACCACGGGTACATCCGTCTCATACAGAGCGCACATAGATTTAAGAGAGCGCTTCGAAAGATTGAAATTCGCAGCAACGGGTTCGTTATTCAGCCACCGAGAGACATCACCACCACACTCATACGGATGAAAGCGTAAATCCAGACTGGCTAAAAGATCTCTTCGCCATCGACCGCACTAAACAACTTTTCAAGCGCCTTGGCAAGCCAAGTCATCGAAGCACAGAGTGCAAAGCTTTCCACTAGACACTAGACACGACGTGACCGATTCCCATGTCCGACGCCGTTCGAAAAGCTTCGCGGGCCAGAAAGAAGAGCACCGACGAAGCCGGCGATGATGTTCTTACTCGCTAGCCAGTCAGTGGCAGGGTATTATAGTGGCACCAGCATCATCAGCAGCACCAGCGGTGGCGAACGGAAACTTAGGCGGTGGCCTTGAGGTTCTTGCGGCCGGCGTTCACGGTCATGGGCTTCCTCTCGCCCTTCTGTACGCGGAGCGCACGGTGCACCTTCGACCAGCGGACAAGCGCCGCGTGCTGGAGGTCAGGGCGGTAGTTGGTGCCGCCGGTCTGGAAGGGACAGGCGGCAGGCGGCGGTACGTGGGCGTTAAAAAAGAGCGGTCGAACCAGCGGCACCGGCAAAAGAATTTCGCAGCGTTGTGACGTCGGGTACGAGGGAAACGGAAGCGAAAGCGAAAGCTTATCCGGGAAAATGTTGCAGCTACGCTTTGTGGTTTGCTGCGGAGCTGTGGGACGTTTTATGCCCATCGCTACTCCCACTACAGCACGCGTACCTGCTTCATGATGGCCTGGGACACGCTTGGGTGGGTCTTCTTCAGCAAGGATCTGCCGACTGACTTCTTGGGCTTGTTGCCATTCTTGGACGACTAAGGGTCATGTGTAATGCATGGGAAGTGATCATCACGTGTCATGATGCGCAAAGAGCATCAAGAGGGAGGAAAGGGACGGCACCGGGGGGGGGGG